AAAGAGAAGCCACACAAAGGTGGAAGGAGTTACGCACAATGTGAGCATCATTTAACACTTAGACAAGACAGCAGACTATACAAATCCAAGGAAGGACTCACATGTTGCAATTGGCTGTGGTCTTGGATATGGACTCCAGCACTTTTTATTTTATTTGTTTATTTTTTAGGAGATAGTGTTTCACTCTGTTGCTCAGGCTGGAGTGCAGTGATGTAATCATAGCTCTCTGTAATCTCAAACTCCTGAGCTCAAGTGATCCTCCTGCCTCAGCCTCCCAAGTAGCTGGGACTGCAGGTATGACACTGTGCCAGGCTATTAAAGATCACTCATTCACTCACTCATTTATTGACTCAGTCACTCGCTCACCCCTTCACTCATTCAATTATTTGCTCATTCACTCACTCATTCACTGAGTCACTGATTCATTCACTCATTCATTTACTCACTAATTCACTCACTCATCATTCATTCATTCCCTGTCACTCATTTACTCACTCATTTATTGACTCAGTCACTCGCTCGCCCCTTCACTCATTCAATTATTTGCTCATTCACTCACTCATTCACTGAGTCACTGATTCATTCACTCATTCATTTACTCACTAATTCACTCACTCATCATTCATTCATTCCCTGTCACTCATTTACTCACTCATTCCCTAAGTCATTCATCCACTCACTCACTGATTCACTCATTTGCTCACTCATTTGCTCACTCATTAACTAAGTCACTCACCAATTCACTCACTCACTAATTCACTCACTCATCATTCATTCATTCCCTGTCACTCATTAGCTCACTCATTTATTCCTTCACTCATTCACTCACTCATTCACTCACTCATTCACTCACTCACTCTCATTCATTCAGCAGCACCCACAGCAGGTTCACTATGTGCTGGGCTCTGCTGTTGCCCTGGGCCTGCAGCAGGGAAGGGTCAAAGGTATCCAAACCCACCACATTCAGAGTTCAGCAGGGGGACCTGGCAGGAAGCCCAGCAGGTGAAATGCCCACGTGTGACACTGACGAGGCTGTTTTAAGAGAAGCAGGGAGGGAGCAGGGGTGTGCGTGGAGGCTGAAATTTCTAAGAGGGTGATCTGGGGAGGCCTCACCATGCAGGTGACCTTGCAGGACAGACCTGAGGAAGGTGGGCAGGGTGGGTAGGGAGAGGAGGGCTGGGCTGAGGAAAGAGCAGGCTGGGCCTGAGGTTGTGAGGTGCCCACAGGGGCCTCCAGGCAGCTCCAGGACCTGGTGGGACCAGAGGACAGGTCAGTGGGCCAGTGTGGGGCCTGTGACTCTGAGTCAGTAGAGGAGAGGCCTGAATTATGTCTAATAAGCACACTCTGACTTCAAAGCTGAAGCTGAGAACATCAGAGGCATGGGGCAGGGCAGGGGGTGGGGGGCCGGAGACAGCAGAGGACGGGGAGGGAGCCCGTGCCGGTCCAGGTCACAGGTGGTGGCTGGGCCCTGGTGGCTCCAGATGCAATGAAGAGCCGGGAGATTTCCTGAGGGACTTAGATGCTGGGGTAGAGGAGCACCCCAAGGCTTCAGCCGGAGCCCTGGTGAGGAGGGAGTCGCCAGGAGCTGAGGTGAGGAAGGCTGAGGGGGGGTGTATCGTGCGGGGGTGCAGAGGCCTGAGCTCAGCTTGGCCCCTGCAGATTGGAGATGCTCACTCCATGCACAAGCAGAGACAGCAGGGGAGGGAAGAGGCTGCTGCTCCAACACACCCGGGCACTGAGTCGTGGTGCCCTCCTGGCGGAGAGCTGCTCCCTCCCGGGACACCAGAACTCCAGGGCACATCAGCGGCTTCTGCGTTCACCTCAGAGGGGAAGAGGGAAGGGCATCTGCCCTGTGCATGTTCTCCATCAACTTGGCCCAGGTGGCACATCCCCCAGTGGCTCCCGTGGCCCCGGCCCCTGGTGTTCACAGCCAGGGCCCTGAAGAGGGCTGGACTCAGCGGCTCACTTGTGATGAACAGAATCAGACAAGAGGCGGTGGTCTCTCCTGAGCCTGGGCTGGGAAGGGCTACGTGTTCTGTCCACTTGAACTCTCTCCCGGTGCTAGTCCTGGCAAAGCCAGCTGCCCGCCCAGGGCAGAGGGCAGCCTGAAGCGGATGCCAGGGAGAGACTGGGCCTTCAGTCCAACAGCCTGGAAGCAACAGAATCCTGCCAGTGGCACAGGAGTGAGCATGAGCCTTCAGAAGACATCGCAGCACTGGGCAGACACCTGCCGTAGCCGCAGGCAGTCCCTGGTGCAGGGGACCCAGTGAAGCCTGCCTGAACTCCTGGCCCCTGGAGTAATTATTCCTGTGGTATACGAGTGTGCTGGTGAAGACCACAGAAGTTTAATCTGTCAAGGGGCAATAAAGAAGGAACACGCGTCAGTCCTTGTTTATTCCTGACTGGGCGCGGCACAGTCAGCACTGTGTGTAACATCTCTTGGATTAGATGATTCATTGCTAAGGCCAAAGATTTTTTAAAAAAATACTTCTAGTTGTAGAACTATTAAAATACATGACTTGCAGGAAAAAAAAAAAGCCATGGCTGTGCTCTTCCATCTTAGCTACAGGTATATATTAATGTATGGGAATTCCTTGACTGACAGCAATGGGCCAGCCTCATGAGAATAAATGTGGGGAGATGACCAGTGACTGCCCTGACCCCAGCCCTTATATGCAAATTTTTGAACATATCCATAACCTAGGGTCTGCACATTCTAAATTTTATTGTTTTTAATTAACTACTTTTACTACGGAAACAATACATGTTCATTGGAGGGAAACATAGTATTACCCATACTAAGCAAAAGAAAGGAAATAAAATGCTGAAATACATTTACATATGTATGTACACCCACACACACACTCATACACACGCTCTCACACACACGCACACAGGCGTGCACAGGCTCACACTGTGCCCAAGTCTGCCTTTTCACTTATTTGTATGTCCGGAATGTATTTCCATGTCAGTAGATACTTATCTTCATAACAGTAAAAACAACTGAATATTATTCCAGCGTACATTTTTACCATCATTGATTTAACTCTTCATGTTTGAACTGTTAGGTTGCATCTATTGTTTTCTGTATTATAGACAGTAGGATGACAAATGACCAATCCTCTCATGTTCAGTTATAAAAATATTGCGTAAGCAGATAAGGGACATTTGGCTAAAATAAAATTCAGTGTGCACTACCTTCTCCACATGTGATTTGCTCTAGAAAGGCATGAATAATTAGCCCTTCTACTCTCCAGCACAGATCCTGAGCCCAGCGGTGAGCGCAGGTGCTGAGAGCCTGGCCCTGCTCTCCTGCCGCCAGAAGGCCAAGGCCACCCAACTGCCACCTTAAGACACCCAGGATTCTCCTTTCCTTTTCTATTAATAGAATAAACCCAGGCCGAGTGCATGAGAGCAGCGCTCTCTGACTTTGCACTCGTTGGAGTAACCTAGGGGCTTGTTTAAAATTACACGTTCCCTGGCTGCACGCCCAGAAATTGGACTTCAGTGGTTTAGAGGGGGCGTGACGAGACCAGGTGATTCTGCGGACCATGAGGGGTTAGGAATTGCTCCGTTAATTCTGACCAAGGTAGAGATCAGACCATCCAGCTCGTCCGCAGCAGGTTTCTTTTTCCCTCCTTTGCAACGAATATTCGATGCTCAGAGGGATGAGCCCCAGGAGGAAGCGCGCATCCGAGAAAAATCAACGCCTCTCCATCTTTTCCCCAGGATGGCCCTAAAGCGAGCCGCTCCTTTGCCATGCCTTCACGTTCTCCGGTTCACAGAACAAGCCTCTTTCCAGTCTCTTATCTGTTCAACAAACACCCAGTGCACAGGATCACCCTCCCGTGAGCCGTCGAGTGGGGCCGCTTCGGAGCCCTTCGCCGTGGAGTCAGCACTGAAGGAACCAGGGCCGCCCTCTCTTCCACCGCAGGGTAACGGGCTCCAGGCGGTTAAGCTGTGGATGGAAGCCCGCAGCGCCTTGGATGTGCGTATCTCAGCATGTGGAGTTCACGGGTGGCGCCGGCCGACACACAGCAGCACGCGTGTCCGTGGGTAGGGAGGGCCGCCCCGCCCCCGCCAGGCCAGTCCGGTTGTGCCTCCTCCGGCCCCACTCGGACTCTGGCGCGCGCAGGCCCGGGCACCAGGACGTCTGTGAGGGTCGCGCCCCGAGACCGTCCTCCACGCCAAGGCTTTTCCACCCCGTGCGGGGCTGGGGATCCAGGAGCGCAAGAGCCCCGGTGGCCCCGAGAAATGGCAGCTTCGTCACGGCCCACCCCGCGGTGCTTCCGTCCTCCCATCACCTGGAGGATCCACTCCACGTCCGCCCTTCCCGACCTCAGGCTGCAGAGGAAACCTGGGGGGCGGGGGTGGGGTTCAACGAGGCCGCTCCCCAAGGCTCCCAGGGCCGCCCCAGGCGGAATCCTGCGGCCAGCGAGAAGCTTCGCGCGCGGCCGGGCTCGGTCCCCACGACCTCCGCGCCCAGGTGGGGTCTCTGCGCCCCAATTCCACCTGTCCAGCCATCGCGTCCCCTGCAGCTGCCGGGTTTCCAACCGCCCAGGTGCTGGCTCCCACTCACGGTCTCACCCGCCCCTGGAGATGCTCCCTGGGTTCCATCCCGCCCCGCCCTGGCGCGCCAGGCAAACTAGGTGACCCCGCCCCCGGCGGTCCCCCTACCCACTCCGGCCCCACCCTTGGCGCTCTTGTCCTGTCTAGAGCCGCCAACCTGAGTCGTCCCGCCCACCTGCTAGGCTCCCGCACCTGCGACCCGGCCCCACACGTCGGGACCCCGCCCACCTGTGGCGCTACCCCGCCTCCACGGCTTCCCCCACCTGCGGCGCCACCCCGCCCCCGCCCCCGCCCCCAGCCAAACACTCCCTAGTAGGAGTGCTCGTGCCGGTCGGCTCCCCCGGCCCGGGTCGCGGCCCCGGCCACCGCCGCGCCCGCGCCCCGGCCCCCCGCAGGCCCCTCCCGCGCGTTCGGCCCCGCCCGTCACCGCCCATTGGCGCTGGGGCCAGGCGGGGGCGCGGGCGGGGCGACGGTTCCCAGTCGGGCGCGCGCGGGCAGGGTCCTCATTGCCTGCTGCGCACCCGGGCGAGCAGCTCCTCTCGGCCTCCTCGCCATGGACGCGGACCACTCCCAGGGCCCCAAGGGCTCCTTGCGGAAGCTCCTGGAGCACCTCTCCGGAGCCGGCAAGGCTATCGGCGTGCTGACCAGCGGCGGGGATGCCCAAGGTGCGCGCCCAGCTCCGGGCGGCGAGGGAGGGAGGGACGGACGTTGGGGGGGTGGGCCGGGCGACCGAGATGGGGGAACCGGGGAGAAGAGGAGGGAAGTGAAGGGGGAAACCGGGGAGAGGAGCAGGGAAGCGGTGGGGACCAGAGAGAAGCCCGCCCCGGGGAGGGGTCGGCGGGGGAACCTGCGGCGCGGCCCCGGGGTCCCTGCCGGGCGGGGGCGGGCAGAACGTGGCGGCAGGAGCTTCATCTGGAAGGTGAGTGCGCTTCCCACCTCCCGTGTGTTTTTTGAATCGAGCCCGGCAGAGGGCGTCTCCTGGAGCGCCCTCGGGGTCGTTCTGCCTCGGAGCTGCAGGACTGGGCCGGGCGTCCCCTCTGAGGCTTGGGGACGGCGCGACCGCTTCCTAAGCGGTTCCCCCCAGCTCCGCCCCACGCCACCCGCAGAATGTGGTGGAAGAAACGGCCGGGTCCCCGCGCGCCTCCTATCCCATCGCGCCCCCGCGCGACGAGGGCGGTCCCGGTGCTGCAATGCGGGACGCGGCGGGGTTTGTGCGCCGGTTCCCGCCAGGCGTCTCAGGGGCGGTCCGGCTGCGCCTCGCGTTTCCGCTGGGGGATTTTAAAAAGGGCTTCCTGCGCCCTCCCCGGCTGTCGCCTTCCGGCTCGTGACAAAACCGAAAACTAAAATGGGTCCCGGCCCTCCCTCCCCCTCCCGCCAGTCTCCGTGGACGGGAAGGACCAGGAAGCGGAGACTCCGGGACGTCACCCGCGCGCGGCGTGGGCCCCGGGCTTCCCTGGCCCCGAAACGTGGACGCTGCTCTCAGGGAGGCCCGAGCCTGGGCCACTGACGCGGGCGCGCGCGGAGGGCGTGGAACACGGGAGGGAGGGGACGACTCGGTGACCGCGCGCCCAAGCCCTGGGTGCACGTGGGGGCGCCGGTGCGCGTAATACGAAGTGACCCAGCCCGCGCAGCCCCCGGCTGGTGGATCGGTGCTGCCCGGGCGGACGCAACCCGGGAGGCTTCGCGATCGCGCGGCTGGAGACACGACGGTCCCGAGTCAGGTTTTGATTGTCATTTGCCGGTTTCCTCCTGCGGCGGTTGCGCGGAAAGGCCCGGATGCCGGGTTTCCTCCCGCTTGGGGCCGCGCACTGCACAAGGATGGACCGGGAGGGGCGCGCCGCCCACGGCGCCCGTGACCTTCCCTTCGCCCTTGAGCGCGCGGGCGGGCGCGGGTGCCGCAGGTTGGGGCGCTGTGGGCAGCGCCCCGCCCAACGCGGGCGCCTACGTGATGCCCGGCCCGTCGTCTCCGTGCGCTCGCCGGGCCCGTAGCGCAGCTCCCCAGGGCCAGCGCCCGCCGCCGGAGCGTGGTAAGCCGCGCTGCGGGGGTCCGCGAGAGACCCGGGTGTCAGTGCCAGGCCCCGCCCGGGAGCCCGCCCCCACCCCCCTGCCGCCGCCGCGCTCAGGGGAAGGGCTCTGGAGGTAGCGTTCCAGTAAAACGACTCAGCATCAGCGTTCCTCCTGCAGGGATGGGTTCTCAGAGAAAGAAAGTGTGATGCAGCTGAGGCTGGGATTGGAGAAATAAGGGAGTGAAGTGGAAAGAGCCTGCTCCGCCCCACCTACACCCGCCCGGAGATGTGGGGGGTCCAATGGGGCCGCCTTGGGGCCGGGGCGGGACCAGAGTGGCTTCTCAGTCAAAGGCCTTCAGAAGCAGGAGGGGCACCTTGAGTGACTGACCTTATCCGGGCAGCCAAAGAGAAGAAACCTTTGGCACAGGAAGAGGAACTGATCTCTGGAAGCCACCGGGGCGGGTGGAAGGTCAGAGTTTCAAGGTTGTTTTGGAATTTCGGTGCCGTGGGCCTGTGCGGCGGCTCATCCTTGTCATCTCAGTGCCGTGGGAGGCCGAGGCAGGAGGGTCGCTTGAGCCCAGGCGTTCCAGAGCATCCTGGGCAACACAGTGAGACTCTGTCTACAAAAAATAAAAAGTTAAGAAAAAGAGAAGATGCTGTATGTATTGGGAATATTTATGGGTCATTGTCCAAAAGTTTGCTAAAATGCTTGGGAGTTCGTGACATTAGTATACATTGGCAGAATTACTGTGTTTTCTGTTTCCCTGGTTTTGCCACCTGGAAGGAGTTTTACATATTGGAGGCTAGTAAGCCCACGCCTCTTCTCTTCTGGAGAAAAAGGTACTTTGGAACCCAACATTATGTGGGAACATGGCTTGGCGAGTACAGCCTCGAGTTAATGGGAGACAGCTGCCCTCCGCTCTGCAGGTGGCATCAAATATGGTGGCCTCGAGCCCACATGGGTCACACCTGAGCTGTCCCTGGGGAAGCCCACCACAGTGGGTGGTCTGGGCATTCTTTCCCTGGCAGAGCCGAACCCACAGATTGTTTTGTAGACTCTGTAAACAGCTTTATCCTATAGTGATATGATCTCGAACCGTTTGAGCATTTGGACACGTTTTGTTTTTTTTTTGTTTTTTGAGGAAGTTCACCTCCTGATGTGCTCAGGCAGCCTGCTCTTAGCTGCCACAGACTTACCCTGACAGTAAGTAGGTTACCCCTCCAGAATTTATCAGTTGTGCCCCCATTTCTTTTATCATTTTATTCTGAGTCTATATTAGTACTTGATTTTCCCTGACATAGAAGACTATTGCCATTAGCAAGAAATGAGAGAACACATGAACATTCAAGTATTAATTTCAGGGGAATTTTTTTTCCTTTTTCTTTTTTTTTTTTTTTTTGAGAGGGAGTCTTCGCTCTGTTGCCAGGCTGTAGTGCCGTGGCGCAATCTCAGCTCAGTGCAACCTCTGCCTCTCAGGTTCAAGCAATTCTCCTACCTCAGCCTCCCGAGTAGCTGGGACTACAGATGCGTGCCACCATGCCCAGCTAATTTTTGTATTTTTAGTAGAGACAGGGTTTCGCCATGTTAGCCAGGATGGCCTTGATCTCCTGACCTCGTGATCTGTCTGCCTTGGCTTCCCAAAGTGCTGGGATTACACATGTGAGCCACCACACCCAGCTTAATTTCAGGGTAATTTTCTGTTGGATGTGAAATTATGGTAAAATTGCACACATTAAGATGACCACAGCCACCAGTTGTTGAAACCATTTTTTATACTAGAAGCTTTACAATTCTCATCTCCAAGCCTAAATACATGACCCCCAAGATAGGCATCTCCTCTCTTAGGGAGAAAGACTCACAAAGAGAAGTAACTTAGGTAAGGACATACAGTGCATACGTGGTTGTGGTAGGAGCAAAACAGATGTTAATTCCCAATATTATACTCTTTCGCAGGCCATGAAGAGTACCTAGGCCTGGCGCTGTCACCCAGGCTGGAGAGTGGTGGCACCATCATAGCTCACTGCAGCCTTAAACTCCTGGGCTCAAGTGATATTCTGAATAGCCGGGAAGACAGGAAGGCACCGTCATGACCAGCTAATTTATTTATTTATTTATTTATAGAGACAGGATCTCCCTATGCTGTTGAGGCTGGTCTTGAACTCCTGGCCTCTAGTGATCCTCCTGCCTTGGCCTCCCAAAGGGCTGAGATCACAGGCATGAGCCGTCATGTCAGGCCTCCACCATGTTTTTCAGAGGCCATTCTTGGTGAGGCTGCTTAATTTAGTTAATGCTTGAAAGTGAGCAAAACCCAACCTGCTCAAAATTATACAGATATTCTTTGGATGGCTTTGTTAGGGGAATGGAAAACACCTTTTTATGGTGAGAGGGTCAAGGTGGCAATAATGATATTCAGGCTTAATACCAATGCGATGGGGTGCATTTCCCCCCAGTAGAGTTGGTATTTAATTATAAGATAAAATTGAAAATGTCTTTTCTGTATTCCTGAATCCCCAGGCCTTGAATGAAGAAAGACTATTTCTCAGGCTGGTTTGTGTTTTTTTTTCTACTTCTTTGGGCATCTTCTGTTGTCCTAAGACATGTTTGCAAACTGAAATTGATTTTCACTCAACCTAAAATAAGCTCCACAGCACTGGGTGTTGGCCTTAGCGTGACTAAGTCCCCACCCCCACATAGTACTGCCACACACCAAGAGTGATTTATCGTCTTAGTCACAGGTTGTGGCTTCTGCAGGGCCTGGTTCCGGGAGGAGCTGAGCGGACTGGGAAGTCCAGGCGCATCCTCAGACTGGGCTGATGCGAAGGCTGTGTCCTTTCTCCCTGTGGTGAGGTGAACATCAGTGCAGCATTTATAGAAAGTCCACATAAATTGCGTGAGTGTAAACCTTGCCAGTCGCAGTGAGAATAACTAGCGTTTAGTGACTCCTTGTTCTGTGGCCCTCAGTGGTCCTGGCCACTAACTTATCCCCGCTTTGCCCATGAGCAAGGGAAGCCCCATGTGCACCGGCTTCCCTGAGTCCCCAGAGCTCCGTGGTGGGGCTGGCCTGTGGCTGCAGCAGGGATACTCGAGGCTGCGTGCATCTGTGCCTTCGCTGGTGTCCTTCCCGCGCCCAGCACCATGCCTGGTGCTTGGCAGGAATGCAGGTGTTTGCTGCCTGCCTCTAGCCTGGAGTCTCCACCAAGGAGCAGGAAAGCAGGGGTTCTAGCTGTCTTCTTTATTCATGAAGTCCTTTAGATGAATTCAGCCCTCACTAATCAAAAGTACCTTGTGATCCTCAGGTCAATGTGTGTAAGCTGTTAAGACTTCAAGATTAGAGCCTTAAAACCGTAGTCAGAAGTGTGAGGTTTCAGCTGACTTGACATGCATTAGGTCAATGCCACACATATTTATTGGACAGCGGGCTGGAGCCCTACATGGGTGCCTTTGGTGTCTGAAGCTCTGCTGGCTGTAGAGCCCAGTGAGGTGGGAGGGGACTTGGAGAATAGTGCCATTCTCCTCAGCCCTTCCCTCACCATCCTGAGCACACACGTTCTTTAAGGGGATCTTTTCAGTGTAAAGGGCAGTCATTAATTCTGCAAAAATGACTGGATCAGGGAGGCAGTGTGTTCGAATGATGGTGTCACCCGTGGCACAGTGGGAGATCTGTGTAAAGGCATCATTTTCTGTGAAAGCAAACTGCTTTGTGTGGCATACCCGGATGACCCTTTGAAGCTAGACGTTTTGTCATCTTTCAAAAGAAGCATGCTGTTCCTCTCAGTTACAGAAAACTAAAAGCTTTTGATACAGGACTCCAACTTTTCATCAGGGAAAATTAGGTCTCTCTAAATAAGCTCTGCCCGTCTGATGGACTGTCAGAAGCAATTAAAATCAGGAAGATGAAGATACGGTAACAGCACAGTCAGAGGAAAGGTCAGGGTACCAGGTTGCACATCCACAGTGCGGTTCTGCTGAGAACGCCCTGGAGGAGGGCTGCACGTCATGGTTGGGTTGCTTTTTGTGTTTCTTTTGCACAAAACCTTTCTGGGGATGTGGTTTTGTTTGTGACAGAGGATCTGCCCAGAGGCTGCACTTGCCCTCCCCACGCCTGGGTTCTCTCCGTCTTCACCCCCTACTCCCAGCGCTTTGTTTGGAATTGCAGTCATTGTGCTTGTCAGGATGTAAGAGGCAGCCAGACACACAGCAGACCAGAACTCTGAGAGGCAGAGGCTTATTTATAACTGGGCCCGGCCCTGCTGTCTCGAGTGCTGAGATAAGGTCTCGCTGTTTTCCTTTGCAGAATGGAGGCATCACTCAGTCTGTCTTCTCTCCCTGTCTCCTTCTTCCCTGCCCTCTTCCCTAACACACGTCCGCAGTGAAAGTCTTCAGGAGACAAAGGAGAAAAGGCTGCACTGTGCTGGGCCCCCAGCCCCAGGGCCCGTTTGCTATCTTCCCAGCTTCCTGTGCCCTGAGCCACGTGGGGGAGCCTGCGGAGGTGCAGATACTGACTGCATGGGACAGAGCGAGGCTCCGACTCTCTCGGGGAGGGCACCTGTGCTGCGGGTCTACCTGGGGCCAGGGGGGCAGTTTGCAAGTCCAGTAAGATCAGCTTCTCCAGGTTTCTCCAATGGGAGACCCTCAGGAGTCCCGTGAGATTGTTTTCTGACTTTGACGAGGGTTTTGACACAGAAGATTCATTCATATAGGACCCCTGTCTAAATGTGCATCTCTAAATGAAATCTGATCTGAAGTTTTCTGAATGGAAAACGATGGAAAGCGTGGCATGCAGTAACCTCGGGGAGTCATTCCTTCACGTCTTTTCAGCTGTGGGTTAGTACAATTAACTGCAACCTCCGCCTCCCAGGTTCAAGTGACTTTCCTGTCCCAGCCTCCCAGGTAGCTGGGATTACAGGTGTGTGCCATCATGCCTGCCTAATTTTTTTTTTTTGTATTTTTAGTAGAGACAGTGTTTCACGGTGTGGGTCAGGCTGGTCTCAAACTCCTGACCTCAAGTGATCCACCCACCTTGGCCTTAGAAAGTGCTGGGATTACATGCATGAGCCTTTTCGCCCCACCTTATTTCCGTGTTTCTGTAATCTTCAAGCACATTAACGGACCGGCTTTAGGTGAGTCAGGGCAGGCTTTCGGCAAAAGAGCCACACCCTTTCCTCCCAGAGCTGTCCCTCCTGTGGTAGGGACCTGTGAGGAAAAGCTCTTGTCTTCTGAAAGCGCCCAGGGGAGCCTCTGGTTGGGGCCTTTGACCTGAGCTGATGGTGAGGGAGGAGTTGGTAGAGGAGGGTAGGCCAGCGGAGGACTTTGGATTTGCCTGGGGTGAGCTGGGAAGCAGGTGGAGGTGACTGACTGCCTCCCATAAGGGTGGCTTTGTGGAGAGGAGGGGAGGGGAGGCCGAGAGTTTAGGGTCTCACAAGGAGCAGGCCATAGATGGAAGGTTGTGGGATGGGGCACGTGGCAGGACAGCCCTGTGCCCACAGACACACCCCACCGAGCAAGCTGGGGGTGTGTCAGGGTGTGGGGTAAATGAGTGCTCAGTTATTGCAGCTAGAAAGCAGAGCCTGTGCGCTGTGGCAGACACAGGCAGGTAGGGGGAAAGGAGAATCTTCATAGCAGTGCTTAGAAAAGCGAAAAACGGGAAAGGCAGCAACATGCGATCAACAGGAGACTAATTCCATGATGGCAGCGTTTAATAAGGAGCTTTGTGGTGGCCTGTCAGGAGGTACAGAGGACACTCAAGCGCAGTACTGAACAGCAGACTCCAGAGCAGCTCTGCACAGCAGAGCCCGCTGGGGCCAGGGGGCAGTTTTCACGTCCAGGCAGATCAGCATCTTGGTTTTCTCCAATGGGAGAATCCCCCAGGAGTGAGGCTTGCATGGGTGGCCTGTTATATATGCAATTTAAAATGATTTAGTTGCCACATTAAAGAAAGGCTGGGGGTGGAGCAGGGATGCTGGGTGCCATGACTCATGCCTATACTGCTGGCACTTTGGGAGCCCAAGGCAGGTGGATCACTTGAGCCCAGGAGTTTGAGGCCAGTCTGGGCAACATGGCAAGACCCAGTCTCTACAAAAAATAAAAAACAATTAGTCTGGTGTGATGGCGTACACCGATAGTCCCAGCTGTGTGGGAGGTTGAGATGGGAGGATAGCCTGAGCCCAGGAATTGGAGGCTGCAGTGAGCTGTGACTGCACCAGTCCACTCCAGCCTGGGCAACACGGTGAGACACTATCTCAAACAAACAAACAAACAAACAAAAAGGTAAAAAACTGGCAACTCGCTATTTTAATAATTATTGTATTGATTATTAATATTTTACACCATTTTCCATACTAAGTCTTTGAAACCTAGTGTCTACAGAAGCTTACAGCACACAGCACATCTCCATGTGGACGAGATGCACGTGGCCAACGGCTCCTCTGAGGGACAGTGTGGTCACGGCAATGGGTGGCGTATGCTGTCTGTATTTAGAAGGTCCCCAATGCGGGAGTTTCTTCACGGGCTCTGAGGGATGTGCAGGGAGGGCTGACCCTGTCCCGGCCCGCAGAGGATGCTAGAATGCAGCGGGATGCCGCCGCGCCCCTGACCCAGCCCCTCTGCTGCCCGAGCTCTTTCCCAGATGTCCATTTGGCTAACGCCCCTCACCTTCCCTTCCCGTCTTTCCCCAAACGTCACTCTCAGGCAGGTCTGCTGGCACTCGGTTGTCACTGGCAGCCCCTCCCTGTCCACCACACTCTCAACAGCCCCCACCCCCACCCTGCTTGTCATTCTCTCCTTAGCGCTTAGGGTTATGCGTCCGTTTGCATCATGCATTTGTTCGCTGTGTTTCTGGCTTTCGGGTCTCTTCTGATCAGAACAAGCTCCACCAGGGCCAGAAGCTTCCCATTTTGTCACTGATGCATCCACACGGCGCCCTGCAGAGGCAGCACTTGGGAGGCCGAGCTGGACAGTGGGCCGGTGGTCGAGTGAAGACCCCTACAGATTTATCGAAAGCCCTCCCCTGACCCTACCAGAAGACACGGTGGTCTGCACAGTCCCGGAAGTCAGAAAGGCTCCCGGCTCGATGACATTGAACTGGGTTTGGGGGCGGGGGGAGCACCTTGACAGAATGCCCCTTGGCATCGCACCTCTCCTTGCCTACATTATCCCGACATTATCAAATGAGAGAGAAGAAGCTAGGAGAAGCTTTGGCAGCAGGAGTGATACCAGTGCTGTGTGTGCTCATTTTTCAACAAACCAGCGGGAGGAGTGGGCCGACTGACTCTATTTCTCAAAAAGAGTTGGTGCATTGAAATTACAACTGAGTGAGCAGGAGTGTGGGAAAATTCGGGAAAAGCGGTTCAGTGCTGGAAGAGAAGGTGAGGCTGGGAGCTTCATTACTCCAGACAATGGGGGAGGTAAAAGGATAGAATCCATCTATTTCTTATTTTTATTGATTTTTTAAAAATACAACTTAGGGCCAGGCGCGGTGGCTCAGGCCTGTAATCCTGGCACTTTGGGAGGCCGAGGAGGGCGGATCGCCTGAGGTCAGGAGTTGGAGACCAGCCTGGCCAGCATGGTGAAACCCTGTCTCTACTAAAAATAAAAAATTAGCCAGGTATGGTGGTGCATGCCGGTAATCCCAGCTACTTGAGAGGCTGAGGCAGGAAAATCGCTTGAGCCTGGGGGGCGTGGTGAGGGGGGCGTAGGCGGAGGTTGCAGTGAGCCGAGATTGCACCACTGCACTCCAGCCTGGGCAACAAGAGGGAAACTCCATCTCAAACAAACAAGCAAAAAATACAATTTAGATTTTATCAGAGCAGATTCCCAGGAAGCTGAGATTTGTAAACTGGGAAATCTAGGTCTTCCAATTAGCCAGGAAATAAGGATGACCTGACTCGCTCTTGCTAAGCCCTGCTGTGCACCAGGGATGACTCTGCCTAAGGAAGAAGTGGTCTTGTGACTCTCTCACCTGCACTGTGGTATAGTGAAGTCTGTCCTATCAAGAAAGAGAGTTAATGATCCGTCCTGTCTGTTGCAGTTAGAGTAACGACCACATATTTCCTAGGTAACTGCTCCCTTATTATCTCCAGATTTATTTTTGGTTCTCATAATAAGAAGATCACTTCCCCGGAAACTGGGGTTTTTTGGGAATTAGGAAGGGGTGTTTTTCCAAATGTTAAGGTTCCTGCATGGTAGGAAAATGTTTTCTCCTGGAAATCCTTAGGAAATCTGTCTGATACCTGGGTTGAGCTCCCAAAACCAAAACAAAATGAGATGGACTAGCCCCAGGATGCCGGAGCTGATGAGACAAACGGTAGCTTGAGTGTGTGGAGTGAAAGACTCTGAAGCTGCCCTTCGTCCCAAATGGCCATGTGCCGGGGCAGCCTAAGGAAATGGCGAACCTGGCGACATTTGCTTGTGAGCCTGGAAAGCCCAAATTGCAAGTTCGCACCTGTGAACCCGTGAGGCTGGGAAAGACCGCATCGCAAGCACGCGAGCCTTCGCCCCCGTCCTGTGGGTGACAGAGCCCCTCAGTAAATGCTGACTTTTCTCCCCTTTGCATTTGTCCACCAGCATTCTCCTCCCTCCAAAGCCAACACTGAGTGTTCCTGGCGCTTCCTCAGGTTTCACCCTACAGGACCCAGCGTGAAGCAAGGATTTGCAGTGCTCACTCTACGGCAGTTCAGAGGGAGGGCTTAGAACCAAGCAGGCCCCACCCCGGGCCGTTCAATGAGCTTTTGGTCTCCAGCAGGCATCGTTTTCCTTCAAGCTCCCATTGGTGACTCTAAGGCACAGTCCTTGTCATAGAGGAAAGTAGGAAGTCTTTAGAGGTAAAATGAAATAAGACTAGGATTTACACTGCAGCTTCTCCCCTTACTGATGTTGTTACCTTCCGGTAATCAGTTTATGCCCTGCAGAGCCTTTCCCCTCCCTCTTTCTCATCCCTCCAGGGAGGTGTCAGAGCTCCACTGGCTTCCTGTGAGAATCATCCAGGCCAGGGCTCTGGCTGTGGGTGTGCCATAAGCAAGGGGCACCCTGCAGGGCCCTACTAAGTGCTGCCAGCCCCTGAGCTCAAGGGGAACCCATGAATAAAAGCCCTTTGCAGTGTAGGACTCCATCCCACCAACGTGCAAGAGAACAGAAGTCCTTTCAGGACCTAGAACTGTATCTTTAAGAGTGTGGTACCCCCATCACCTAGAAATTGCTAGAAATGTAGGTTCTCAGTCTCCCTCTCCACCTGTGAAACCCTAGGGGCAGCCCAACTACGGGTCCCCAGTGGGGTCGGGGCAGGGCAGTGGGGGGGGGTCGGCTACTGATGGTGAGCTTCTGCTTGAAGGGTGGTGTCATGATTCTTTCCAGGTGGGTGCAGGTGAGCCCACGGGGGTGGGGGAGGTGGGGAGAATCCAGGCAGGGACTTCAGGGACTGAGTTTAGTGCTGGTGTGCGTTTTTACTCTGCGGGAGTCTCCTGGGGTTACCTTGTGTATCATGTCCAGCTTTTTTTTTTTTTTTTGAGATGGAGTCTCACTCTGTTGCCAAACTGGAATGCAGTGGCATGATCTCTTCTCACAGCATCCTCTGCCTCCTGGGTTCAAGTGATTCTCATGCCTCAGCCTCCTGGGTAGCTGAGACTGCAGGCCTACGCTAATTTTGGTATTTCTATAGAGACAGGGTTTCACCACGTTGGCCAGGATGGTCTCAATCTCTTGACCTCTTGATCTGCCCACCTCGGCCTCCCAACGTGCTGGGATTACTACAGGCATGGGCCATCATGCCTGGCCATGCTCAGCTTTTAAAAATTTTATTCCTTCTGCTATTTCTTTCCACTTACATTTTCTAAAATTCCCAAGTTCTTCATCATTCCTTTATGAAAGACCAGGTGGGCATGGTGGGAACGAGGTCTTCAGAGAGCAGGGGGCAGAGGAGGAGCAGGGGGAGGAGCGGGGCGGGGCGGGGGAGGAGCAGGGCCCAAGGGCTGCCACCAGGTCTTAGAGTTGTGCTTCTTCATCACCTGCTTCCCAGTGTTGGCACAGGCTCAGTGTTTGGTGGTTAATTCATCCATCAGAGTGACCATAGCATAAGGTCCTGGAGCCAGAGCTGTGCCTCAGCCCCTCGAGTTGAAGAGTCCAGGCACTGTCAAGCCTGCCTATTGGAGAGATGGGTGAGAATGTCCCACAGGTGTGAGGCCAAGGGGGCGGGAGGCTCCGTCCTGCCAGGAATAAACGGAATCAGGTGGGAGGCAAGCCAGGCGGTCTTCCTGGGAGGTGCCAGAGCCCGGAAGTGGAGGATGAGGAAGAGCGTCCGAGCAAGAGCGCCGGCAGGGCTGCCACCCAGGCTCAGGGACAGGAGGCTCCGAGTGCCGCCAGACAGGTAGGAGGTCCCTGGGCATGGCCAGGAGCTCAGGGGAGCTTGGCTTTTCTTCCTGTAGCCCTGGGAACCAGGAGGAAAGCGGTCACATTTGTGCTTTAGAAGAGAACGTTGAAAGTGGTACGGAAGCCATCTCGGACGTGGTGTCGAGCGTAGAAAGAAAGAACGTGTGAAGCTCCACAGGACACGGCGGCCAGCACTGGCCCCAGACCCAGTTCTCCAAGGGGGTGGGGCTTGTGTGACCATGACTCACTTGTATTTTTTCTAAACAAGAAGAATGTACTCATAATTTACTTGCATAAAAGCCAGTGGAAGAGAAAATGCTGTTGTAATGATTCTGGCCGCAGCGTGGCTCACGTCAGAGGGAGCTGGGCATTTGGGGGCAGCGCTGGGAGAAGGTGTCCATTGTGTGGGCTGGAGCTAGCAAGGGTGTTGGCAGCGTTCAGCGCCAGTGACAGAGAAGAAAGTGGTGCTGTTTGGCAGGAGAGCGCGTACAGCGGGCGGAGGAAATGGCCAGGTGAGCCGACCTGCTGCATTTTGAAACACTGAGTTTGATGTTCTTGAGAGGTGGCCACTAGTTAATCAGCAGGTCATTAGAGTTTTTCATGTTATAAACTAGGTTTGAATATGATGTAAATAAGACTATGTCATATATATCTATGCACGCATACGTATTAGACACGTAGTAAACACGCATTTACCCCTAAAATAGGTTTTCTCACTCAGAATTGTCAACTTTCAGAAGCAATGGGTACCCCAGCATCGCCGACCTGGCCCAGCGGCATTTCAGGTTTTTTAAGCGTCTTCTGAGCGGGTGGCCGTCCAAGCGCACGTAGCCTGCCTCTGTGTCACGGACGCCCCTGCAGGACCACGGTCCTTTCATTTGTGGCTCATTGACTGGAAGCATCCCTTGCTTCACAGCCCACGAACTGCAGCATCGTTAAGATGGGCGCTCTCAGGTGTGTCTGGGAGCAGAGGCACTGAAAGCTCAGGTGCTCCTCATCCTTCAGCAGCAGCGCTGCGTGGTTGTGGGTGCAGGCCTCGTGCCTTTTAACTGCTCTCCTGATGGGCCTGAGCTCCTTAGCCACGACAGCGAGACAGACCCTCCAGGCCCCAGAGGTAGCTCTGAGACACAAGCGGCTTCAGCTCCCTGGACCACAGTGGAGAGGGAGGTGGAGGCTAGCACAGATATATGATGATACATTGTATAACATCTGCTGCTGAGGAGATGGGGCTAAAAGGCTTATAAGTTGATACATTGTATAACATTGTCTGAGATGGAGGCCAATGACTTACATGTCGATACGTTGTATAATTTTTTTTTAAGTGGAGGGTCTCCCTTCATGAGGTGTGGTTATTTATAATATGCCGGTTTATTTTAACTTTACTGATCATAAAACTAATATGCCGGTTTCTTTTAACTTTATTGATCATTCGACTTGTTTTCTGTTGAAGCCCATTACCTAATTTTTTTTTTTTTTTTGATGTAGTCTTTTTCTCTGCCGCCCCAGCTGAAGTGCAATGGTGCAATCTCTGCTCACTGCAACCTCCACCTCCTGGTTCAAGCGATTCTCCTACCTCAGCCTCCTGAGTAGCTGGGACTACAGATGCATGCCCAGCTAATTTTTAGTAGAGATGGGGTTTCACCATATTGGCCATGCTGGTCTCGAACTCCTGACCTTGTGATCTGCCCACCTCGACCTCCAAAAGTGCTGGGATTACAAGCGTGAGCCACGGTGCCCAGGCAATTTTTTTTTTTTTTTTTTTTTTACAGCGGTAGTTGGTGATGAGATGATCCATTTTTTATCTCCTTCTCTTATCACACACAGAATGTCGCTAGCTGCAAATAAACATCTGTTCTGCATGTTGTTCGGTTGGATGGAGTGGCCTACAATTTGGTACTGAGCTCAGGCAGTGATGTTTTGAACAGAAAGTCCTCCAGGCTCCTAGACTCAGCCTGGGCGTAGGGCACCCTGCATTGCATTGGCTGTATCTTTTAGTCCTTACCCTCATCCCAGAGAGCTGTACGTACCCATCTCTTGTGTAAGGAAATGAGGGCATTGAGAAGTTACAGAACAGACCCATGGTCCTGGGTCCTGAGTGGCAGAGCCGGAATTGCTGAGGCCCTTCAGTGACTCTTGCTCCTGTTTCCTCTGCAGGTATGAACGCTGCTGTGCGCGCCGTGGTGCGCATGGGTATCTACGTGGGGGCCAAGGTGTACTTCATCTACGAGGTCAGTGCCTGCCCCACACTCCCTGTTGCTCTTCCTTCCACCTGCCCAGAGCCCTGCAGTCACTGGCGTGTGCTCACCCCTGCCTCCTGCTGCTGAGCAAGCCAGGTCCTGCCTGCCAGGGTCCTTCCCCAGCCCACAGGAGCCCTGATGGGGGCTGTTTACATAGGGCGCTGTACTTTCTGGTCTCCAGGGACGGATGCCTGGTCTGTGAGGCTTTTGTTAGGAAGTGAGGGGAGAAAGGAGAGGGAGCCCCAAAAGCCATGCTCTTCTTATTTTTAGATAGTCTTGCTCTGTCATCCAGCCTGGAGTGCAGAGGCGTGATCTTGGCTCATTGCAACCTCCCAGGTCAAGTGATTTTCTGCCTCAGCCTCAAGAGTAGTTGCAATTACAGGCGCCTGCCACCATGCCGAGCGAATTTTTTTGTATTTTTAGTAGAGAAGCGGTCTCACCATGTTGGCCAAGCTGGTCTCAAACTTCTGTCCTCAAGCAGTCTACATGCCTTGGCCCCCCAAAGTTTTGGGATTACAGGCATGAGCCACTGTGCCCAGCTCCAAAAGGCCATTTTGATATCAACTTCCTGGTGTTGATTTCTAAGATTAGAGATCAACCAATGGTCTCTTAATTGGTTGTATTGGTAGATTGGTTGTATTTGTTTGAGGCTCTCATTGCTATAGAAGTGATTTGTAGGCTGAATTAGAATAAGCATTTAGAGAAATGGGGAACAACAGCCCCTTTGAGCTTTTCATTATTAATGTAAAAAAAAAAAAAAAAAAAAAAAAAAAAAAAACCACACCTATGCCAGCTGATGTGTTACTTCAGAATGAAGAGTCTTCAATTAAATAGCAGGGAGAACTCCCTATCTGCTGCATTTGAAGTCCTGGCAACTTAAGACTAAAAAGCATTTGAAGGGAAGGCACCAATAGAGTTTGGATCACAGTATTTATTTCAGAAATTATTAGGAAAAAATTTAATGTTTAAATTTCTAAAACCTATTTTTTAAATTTAAGTTCTGGGTACATGTGCAGAATGTGCAGGTTTGTTACATAAGTATATACATGCCATGGTGGTTTGCTGCATCCTTCCCCCCGTCACCTACATTAGGTATTTCTGCTAATGTTATCCCTCCCCATCCCCCTGCCCCCTGCTATCCCTCCCCTAGCTCCCCCACTCCACAACAGGCCCCAGGGTGTGATGCTCCCCTGCCTTTAAAAATGAGAAGTGGGTATTTTTAAAAATTCATTTAATGTCTCCAAAATGACTGTTAGTGTTTTAGTCTGATTTCCCTCAGTGCGATGTATGTAAAAGACTGGGAGGAAATACATTATTAAAAGTATAGCAGACATGTTTTGTATACTGTGTTTTTCATCTATATTACAGCGTTGTGATTATATGATGACTTTTTCTATGTAGATTCCACAACTGTCGCTTTAAATGTCAGCATACTGTCCCACTGAATTGATGTCATGCGTGGACCCTGTATTCCACCATCCCCCTGGTATTGCGCCATTTAGTTTTCTTCCTATTTTTTAAGCTGCTAAGATCTATGTTAATATTCAAAGCAATTTGATGTTTTGAGTTATTATGTAATACCTTGGCCCAAAGATTGGGCAGTGAGTACGATAAAAGGGCCAGTCGTCATCGCTGCTTGGGATGGTTCTTGCCTCACTGATTCCTGAAACCTGCCCAGCCCCGACCCAGCCCTGCGCAGGGAAGGCGAGGTACCAGCTCCCCATGACGATGCTGTGTGTGGCTCCGTGTGGCTGCCTCTGAGCCCTGGTGTGGATTCCCCTGTCTGTTTTCTAAGCTCTCTTCCCCTTTGGTGAAATGTCTGCTGCTCTTATTCTGTGTTCATTTGTGCATTCTATCCATTTGTTTATCATTTGCTGGGAAGATTTTTTTTCTTCTATTTTTGGCTTGCTTTTATTAAACTGGTTATGTGGTTATTGTTTGCATTTATCTGATTTGGGCAATTTTAACAGTAGGTCTAACTGTAGCATTACCAGGCTGCTGTTTTTATCATTTTATACTTGGGTCTTTTTTTTTTTTTTTTTTTTTTTTTTTTTTTTTTT